TCGTTTTATTTATTTAAAATTTAATTCAAAATTTAAAAAATTATCTTATTAAATATTGATATTTAGATTTAGGAATTGATTATATTAAAATATATAATGAGTTTTCAAATGTAAATATTAACATTTAATAGAATGAGATTTTAGTTTTTAAATCTAGATTGAGACTCTATTTTTTTTTTGGTTTAAAATTTAAAAAATTATCTTATTAAATATTGTATTTAGATTTAGAAATTAATTATATTAGAATATATAATGAGTTTTTAAATCTAAATATCAAGATGAGATTTTAACTTCTAAATGTAAGTTAAAAGCCGAAATTGATATACATAAATCTCTTAAAGATGAATACCAAAAATATATTAAATTGAATATATATTTATTATTATTATTATTTTGTTTTTACAACCCTTAAGTCGATATAGATTAAATTTTGCGCATTATAATAAATTTACCTCGTAGATGCATCGAAGGCAAGTAAGATTAGAAAATAAATAAGAAGTTATTGTCATTAGCATTTCCAAATAACCTAACAAAGAGCAACAAGGAGGAAGCAAACCACCCTTTCAGATTAGTCTACATTATGTTCTGTTTGGTTGATAAAGAAATCATGTTTTAAGGAAAAGTTTTTCAGATTTACATTGAGCCTGATGAACGAAAGGGAGACTGGCAGAGCATCCCAAAAGGCCCAATGTCATTGGGCTTGTTTTGACGTTTAGGTTCTTCATTAGAAAACGCTAATATCTCAGCCCAAACTTAGCCCAGGACTGTCTATTCAGTTCCCAAAAATTCATCTGAGCATAGGAAGACGCAGGTCGACCCGACCCAGCCCAGCCCAGCCCAGCCCAGCCCAAATAGAAAATGATCTTTTGCTTTTAACTGGTTTGTGAATGCCGTCTTTGAAAGGGGATCATCATAGGTTCTTGTGCACTCTGGTATCCCCGGACCACCTTTGTCGGGGTGCTTTGTTTACTTTCTTTTGGAAATGTCGTCTACCACCCACTTTGGAATTGAATTTTAATATTTATATATCTTTTTTTTTTAATTTTAATATTTATATATCTTAAAATTATAATAAACAAAAAATATTATCTTTACTTTTTATTCTTTATATAATTTTTAATTGGTAAATTTTTTTTTATATTTTTATATTTTTATGATTTTCTTTATGTGAAACTTAGTTAATAATTTTTTTATTAATTCTATGTATAATTTTTTAATATCAATTTCTTATTAAACATAAAAATTAATAACTTAATAAAATTTTATTGTAAAACATAATAATTTTGTGTACAATATTTTTTAATTATTTATAATACTTTAACTAAATTTTTCTTAAAAAAGTTAACCTTTAACCAAAGACACTATGTGTAAGGCTAAATCACTTTCAAGATTAGTTGTAATTTTTAGTTTTTACCTCTTAATTTAAATTTTGTAATTATTAAAAATTAATATTAAATATAAAACATTAATAAATTATTTAAAATAAATTTCAATGATGATAATCAAAATGTAAAGTTAATT